TGCACCCTTCCCAAAGGCTTGGCACAGCACAGTTTGCCCAGCCTGAAGCTGAGGTGAGGACTGGCCGGCTGCAGACCTGCCCGCCCTGCACACTGCCAGCCCCTGCAGAACGGTCACACTCCCCTGGGCGTTGTTCAGACCGTTGGCCAAATCCAGACCCTGGGCGAAACGTTTCCTCATTTAAAAAGTAACCTCTTGCCCGTGTACGTAAGGGCAAGAAGCAGGGGCCGTGGCTGTCCACTCGGACCCGAGAAGGGCCTGCGGTTCTCCGGAAGACTCTGGTGTCTGGCTCTGCAGCCCTTGGAGGAGGTCTAGACGCTGCAGCGGTCATGGCCAGAATAGCTCCCCTCACTCAGTGATCGGGCTAAAAGTGGCTCCAAGAGTCTTGGGTCCTTACTTTCTCCTGCTTGTCAACCCAATCCCTCTGTCGAGGCCTCTGGGGAGGCCCCGCCCTCCCCCATTGGGTTTATCGTGTGCATGTCTTCCGTGTCCCTCTGCTTCCTGCTCCGGTGTTGAATGGGCTTGAGAACCGAGCTGCTGACTCACTGCTGTCCCCGGAGGTGGTCGGCCTGGGCGTGCACTCAATAGAAATAGGGTTTCTTTTACCTTCTTAGCCCAAGTGGCTGCTCCCCTCCACTTTTCACAATGCTGCGTGCACTTGAAGATCTGCTGCCCTCCAGGGAAGCCCGGGGCCTCTGGAGACCAAGCAGGCCAACACAGCTCTCATTGCTGTTGAGCCAGCACAAACTGGTGGCCAAGCCATGGGCGTCAGGGTTGACCCAGCTCCGTCGGTGTTTCCACAGCTGTTTTCTTGGCTCTGGTGTGGGCCAGGCCTTTCTTCCAAGCTGCGTCTGGGTGGACTGGGCCTGTTGACTGTTTTGGTTAGGCAGTCAAGCAAGTTGGTTGTCTCCTCACTCAGGCATGCTAGTGAGTCTACAAGCAGGAGATCATTAAGGCCCTCAGGAACAATTCGGGAATGCCAAATTTCAGGCCTACCTTGGACGAGTCTTAGCACACGGAATGAATGGATGGGCAAGCGTCTGAAGACAGAAGCTGTCAAAGCCACCCGCCAAAGGGCTCAGGTAGACCAGTGTGGCTACTTTGGTTTCCTGTCAAGGTCAAAAGCAGTTTAATGTGGACACGCTGGCAGCATCAACTTATCACCCAAACTATTATAAGTCACTCGCTCTGACCACATGGGAGGAAGCTAAAGACAAAGGGAATGCAGGCATGTTCTCCTTCAAAAGCAGCTGGCGGCCAGGTGGCTCGGCTTCAGGCACGTGCCAG